TTAGATAACCTCAAAAACAACATATGACTTCAATGTTTTCAAAGGCTCATCCGAGATAAACTATATTTATCCATGATAATAATTGAACAAGTTTCACAAATATTCTCCATTTCTAGACGTAACACCGTAGCTTCTTCAATAGAAATAAATAAATATTTCACACTGGGCTACAATTCTTATATTAGGTACAACGGTAGTAGGTACCTAAGAGCGCCCGTACACGAGCCACATTTTGCAGTCGGATCGACCACACAATTGCAGTCGCGTTCCAGCGAACTCAAGCCGCCCATAAGAAATACTGTACTACTACACGTACACGGGCGTTCACAAAAGTCAAAACGGACGTCTGCAGTCAACTTGCTGCTGATCTCCGCCAAGATGTCATCGCGGCATCCTGCGTACACTAACCACAAACTTGCAGTCGTACCCAACTGCGTACACCGTGGTATACTTTTTCTCATATTGGTCTCACAGCACTCAATTTTTGATGTCAGTTGTCCCAACTGCAAGTGCGGTTTATATGACCGCAAGTCGACCCAAAAAATGTGGTTGGGTCAACCGCGAAGTGCATTCAACATGACCACAATGTTGTGGTTGCCTCAACTGCAAATATGTGGTCCGTGTACGGCCGGACTAACTTAATTGGTTAATAGTGAATGAGATAACGGGTAGAATTTTAAACCAATTACAATCTCAGTTCTTGGACACCGGGTAAATTTTGATATGTAACAGGTAGAAACAATACCTACTTTTATTTTATTTGAAATAATAATAATCTGATAATCTTTAATAAAACTGAGCCATCCTTTTTGACATTTTTCTACTAAAACCAATAATTTATTGAATTTTCAATATATCATGCCAAAACCTGTATCAAAAATACTGATCAAATTATTGAATTGATTGAATAATATTAAATAGCGAATCCCCTTCATTTCATCAAAACCCATAATTAAAATACTTCATGACTCTATATCTGATGAGTTTGCAATGAGAAACTATAATAATAAAAATTTATGGGAATTACTTCTACAAGTGTAAACACGTTACATTGTAACTTGACACGATATGCATGTATATGGTAAATAAGTTTACTTCGTATGGGCAACAGCGTGAAGAACCTTCATATTTTTCCCATCCTGTTTGGTGTCGGTAAATCCACCTCCGAATACGTTTCGCCTGATGCAATTAGATATTTCTTGATTATATTTTGCTGGTTTGGTATGAGTTGTTATCTGCTCAATCTGCAATTGAATTTTAATCTACAATAATTTAAGATTCGAGAAAATAAAATGAGTGAAGCAGAATATCAGATTGCTTGATATGATGCAGTTTAAGACATAGGTAGGTACTATATATTTTTTTATTTAACGACACTGTAGGCAGATTAGAAATTGAATTCTAGTTTTTTAAACTTATTTATATTATGAGACTCAGTAGGTTGGAGACAAAGATGAATATGAAGTAAAAAGAGAATAATTAAATTAGGTAGGTGGAATTAATTTATAGTAGGTACCAAAGGGTCATTTTTATTAACTCAAGATAGTTAGTTTTTCGATAAAAAAAATCAGTAGGTTGTCTCTAATTTCGACACCGGCCGTGAAAGTCTATGTTCTCATATATAGAATGAAACATATAGAACATATAGAATAAAATGCACTATTGGTTTTTCATATTCTAGGAAAATTCAACTTAAGAACTGTTGAAACATGAATATAGGAGAATGAAATCAAACGTACGGAAGCGCAGAAGGGCCACATATTTTTATTATTTGTTTCTTGGAAATTACGATTTTGAATCTCGAAATTTCGACATAAAAAAATGGAAGTAGTGCAATTAAGAAAGATTTTTAATGATATTGAAAAGTTGGAAATAGGGATTTTTGAATCCCTCCCAACAACTGCATATATAAGTGAGGTCAACCCAGTAAACACAGGATTTCCACAAAAATGGACACCAATATGTTTCGACACAATCATGTCGCTGGAATTGCAAAGGCTGCTTCTCTAAAGCTTGGGACACTGTTCCGAACCAGAAAATTGTACACACCTCAGCAACTTCTCATGCTTCATTAAGCTCAGATCAGACCTTCTTCGGAGTATTATTCTCATGTATGGAGGTTCATCCCTGAGCATACATCATTAAGCTGCTGGATTCCATCCAAAAAAGAGCCATCCGCCTCATTGGAGACGCGAACACCACTTACAACCTTTATAGTCTGGAACATCAAAGAAAGGTTGGGGATTTGTCTGTCTTCTATAGATACTTTCACGGGAAGTGTTCAAGTGACTTGGCACATTGGATTCCACTACAAGCAGTATATATTAGAAATACGGGACGGACTGTGGCTGCACATCGTTTTGAGGTTAAACTCAGTACACCTTGAACTTCAATGTTTGAAAAATCTTTCATTTGGAGAGCTGCATTTATGTAGGATAAACTTCCTGATAAAACGTTTTTCCAAATGGATTTAATCTACAGCGATTCAAATCCAATGTGAATCGGTACTTTCGCACAGGTTCCGCTCTTAGAGCGCCTAAAGGATTTTTCTGTAGTGCTTGTGTGTTGTCCTTGAAAAAAAAATGGAGGTAGAATTAATGTCTATGAGATGTCCGTAAACATTCATCCTAAGGACACTCTTCTATAGACTTAAATGACATCGGAAGCTCTATTATCAATCCATATACTATAAGTTACTATAGGTTTGAAATATAAATTTAACAGAAAGTTTCTGTTCAATTCAAGAACTCGCCTCTTTCGATACATCAGTGACCAATGGCAGGTGAAGTTAGTCAGTTGTATATTATTGTAGGTGTTTTCAGATTTAAAAATCTGGAGCCGAGTGAGCACATGCCTATTTGATACCACGTGATCACAGAGTCAATGAAATGTAAAAGCAAGTTGAAGTTTTGTTTCAAAACAACTTTGTTTTAGATATAATTGTTTATGCAAACATTTTTTACAACTATTTGAAAATGAATAGTTTTATGCCAGTAAGATAGTGATGTGCTGACAAACGAGAGAGACAAATTTCACCAAAAGCTAATAATTTCTCAAAAAATACCCAAAACAATCATTTTTTCAATATGACGGCTGACAACTAAAAAAGCTGTCTGATCCTAACGTTGATAAAGGAGCTAACTGATCACATTTTCCTCCACGCTATCGTAAATACACAACACGTAGACGTTGAGAATATTTCGCCGCAATTTTTGAAATATAAAATGAACGTTATCTGTTATTTGTAATTCATTTCTTCTTAACTTATTCCATTATTTAGTCTCATAAGTAATCAATGCAATCGTCACTTACATATAATGAAGTAAATTTAAGAGTAGCATAAATTATTAAGTGTGCCATTTTCAAAATTTTCAGTGTAATATGTGATAGAAAATCATGTACCTGTGATAACTTGTGAATTTTTCATCTGAATAACGATGAAACGCATTTTCATAATCAATAATACGTGGCCTAAGTTTTCGGTTTTCATGATTATAATTTTGTAAAGTTGCAATTCTACTTTCCATCTGAACTAGTTTCTGGAGCACTATTGCGACTCATCTACAAATCTCCAATTGCCGCATAAGACATTTTGATTACATTCAAACTCAATTTGTTTAGTAATTTATACTTTTTTTTAATATAAATAAAGTTAGTTTGCAATTATCGAAACTTACTATTAAGGTTTATGTAACCTCATTGAAACTTCTACTTCATTTTTTCTACCTCGCCATTTGTAAGGTTTACATGAACGCCCAAAACGTTCCATAATCCATTCCACTTGAATTTACGACAATAACGCTCGCAAGCAAAAGACACGGGAAAACTACGGTCGTGAGCGTGATCGTTGTGAGTGCTTAGTGGAACGCACGCATGGACTAACAGTGACGACAGATGTGAATTATCGAACGCTTGTCTAGCGAAGCGACGTAATCTAATGCTCGGATTTGTAATTAATGAACACGCCTTATGTATTATGTTTAGATGTGTTCCAAAAGTAACCAGGAAATATGTTTTGGTAATTCCAAAATCACCACTATTGTGGTACTACTGAAAAACTTAGATATGAAACTGAAACTGGTGAACCAAACGACAAAATACTAACAGATGATTTCGTTGTAGTGAGAGTGACAATTGGCAGATGAAGGGTTTAAATTTGGAATAGTGGAACGGATATTTGTTTAAAGGTATATTTGACACTCTTATGTTGATTTGATTTTTTGACAACTAGCTTTTGAAATTGAAGCGTGAACACTATGTTATATTTTACATATCTAGCGAGTAGAATCATATTGTCATTTACATTGTCTGGGAAAAAAACATTCCAATGACACAGGCAGATACTTTTCAGCACTGAGCAATTCCGGCTATCATCAATTGTCTTATTTAGGTAGTGAAAACAATGAATTTCATAGGTTTGAACAGGTTTACTTGGACAATTATCAAGAAAGATCTGGTACACACACTAAATTGAGGTTTCTCCCACACAACCTTCTTGTTTGGAAATTAATCAACAATAATATATTTGCTTTTTGTTGACCTCCACCATTTTGGGAGGTTGAAACCTGCTAACATAGCGGCGCCGATATCGAAGAATTATGTCGGGGTTTAGAAAATCTTATAATTTGTTTTTTGAGTGAAAATGAAACTACCCATTTAAATCATAAAGGTAGATCTAGAAAATTTCAACGTGTTACTTATTTATTTAATTCAATTATCCCCAAGAAAATTACTATTGTTTCAATAGAGTTAGAGGTATTTTGTTAATAAGTAAAAATTTGAGAATGATTATTATTTAGAGTAACACTTTTGCATCAGATTGTTTTGAGACATGAATTTAAGAGCTATAAATGTAGAAATGAATACACAATTATAGAAATATGATGCTGCGATCAAATGGATTCGGCGCCGCCGTGATTGACAGGTTTCAACCTCTCAAAGTGGCGAAGGTCATCGAAAATAAATTCCTTAGAACAGAGGTGCCGTTTTCGTGAGTCCCTTCTGATTGTTTGTGGTTATGCTTATTTCACAGAAAGTAGAAAGTGGAGACATTTCTGAATTTTTGTTGTTTTCCGTGACTCATATAAAAATGTCATCCCTGGATTCAGGGACGCTACTTTCTCCAGAGCCTAAAAAGATTAAATTGGATACATCTGAACAAAGTCCACAAATTGTAGGAACTGTTCATGGAAGTATCACTAATTTGTCTAGTTTTCATTTAAAAAATGTTCTTTTAAACAACACAATCCGAAAAACTATTTGTCTTAGAGGTTCCTTTGAAGGCAAAGAAGGGGAGGCTGTTGTTATTTTAGAAAAGACAGCTTTTTCTGAAGAGCATTTTAAAGACGGTCGTGATTATTTCACAGATGAAAGCAGCTTGAAAGAGTCGTTCCAAAATGATATTTATGGAGAATACAAGTATTTTCCAGCACCTGAGTTAAGTTGTAAGTGAAAGTATATTTGCATCCATATGCATTCTTTACGTACCTAATTCATTCAATTTCAGCATTCAAAACCACAATCATACATCCTGCTACAGAGAAACATATTCTCAAATATTCTGCACAAAAAAGCTATTTAGTGGATGAAACTCCAAAAATTTATTCTGATATTATTTTACCTGGTTTGGTGGGTGAAGCTTCTCATTTGCAGGTAAGTTTTGAGAAAATACAATGAATTAATAAAGGAAAACATACTTCTCTTACATTATGTGGCCCGATGAATGATTTTGACTTTGTGTCTCACTCTATACTCATTGAAAAATCAAGTTACAATGGCATAAAAGGCAATGCTATACACTTAATATGTTTTGCTTGGGAAATAGGAATCAGTGTTTGGATCCGAATAATGTAAGGTCATATTCGAAACAAAATTTGCCATAGTTGTTCCTCAAAGTTCAATCTCGGACCATTATTATTTATGATTCATATAAATGATGTCTGCAGTTTCCTGGCACCAGCAACATGTGTTCAATTACATTGAGAATTTCACCCCTAAAGTGTCCCACTGAAAAAACGCTGTGGGTGCTGTAACATTTTAAAATGCATTATTTACTATTTCACCTGGTGATGGAGAAGTTGAAAGCTTGATAGGTTTTCCCGAAAATTAATCTTTCCTAAATAATATCCCCTTTTCAATTACTTTTACTTGTAAACAATATGCGTGTCCTATGCTAGTTTTAAAATGTTGTAACAGTGCCTAACTTGCCATAAATTCATATTGTATTTGAAATGGTCAATAGAGAATATTCTGATTTTATGAAATCTCTGGTCCTTTACTTAATGAAAATTAATAGCACTATCCATTATAATTATAGAATTTTCACAATAAATTTTACAATGATGCTTCATCAATGTCCATTGTGAAAATTCAGTATTTATTATAAATGATATTCTGATTTTGTTATTACAGTGGGTTTACAATATTTTGGAGCATAAATCTGAAGTGGATAGGATATACTTTGAAGATGTAGATCCTGAAAATGGATTTGTATTAGTGCCAGATCTGAAGTGGAATGGTGAAGATATTGATACTTTGTATTTGTTGGCGATAGTGAACAAGAGAAGCATCAAGTCATTACGAGATTTGACATCAGATCATTTGTCTCTACTTAGAAACGTTAGAGATAAAGGAATTGTAAGTTAGAGTATAATTTTGAGAATGTTATGTTTGACTCGTAGGTCACCAGGTCATTTGGGTTATTTTTTTCATTAGTGATATTTAATTGTTAATTGAATCAATTCATTGGAACCAGTCTGTCACATTATAAAGAAATATCCATATTGGAAAAAGATGTTTGAGCTTCCTCTGTAATAAATAATCTGTATACTATTAGTATCAATCTTGCTCTTGGATACAAAGGCAATAATTTATATGCAAAAAGATCATATAATTATGATAAGAAAAAATAGTTGAACATAATATTTTTGTTTCCTACATATAAATTACAAACTGAACATATAAGCAATTGTCCGATGTCTCCGGGTATATTAGATGTCGTCTGCAGGTTTTTATACCTGACTTTGTACTTGAAATGGGACTAGGTGTCTGACGACCGACTGCTCTAGTACCTGCTCTAGACACTTCTCCAATTATTAGGAAAATCTTTATGTTATGAAGCGCTGGTATCTATGTCTTGTTGATGTTTAAACTCTTTTCCGTACAGTTGAAATTATTCTTATATTTATGTATTTCTATGATCTCTCTGAATAGCTTAGCATAGTAACATCTGGTTTTATTAAGAAATTGCGTGCATTTGAAGGCAATGTTATGGCTGTCCTCTGAGGAAGCTTGTTTTTCAACTACCGATTCATCTGTTTGACAACAGTGCCAACTTTTTTTATGCTCAGTCACGCGCGTTTTAACGCTTCGTGTCGTGATTCTGATGTAGAACGAAACTCAACTACAAGGTATTCAGTATACCTGGGGTCTGTTGCTAACCTGAGACTATTCTCTATCGTTCTTGTGGACTTGAAAAAACATAGAGTTGGGGCCCTTATCAAGCCCACAAGAACGATAGAGAATAGTCTCAGGTCAGCAAAAGACCCCAGAGATCTATTAAGTACCCCAGGAAATTCTTCCAATAATTGAAGACAGCTCGGGCCAATCAGGTATGAAAGCAGTCGGTCGTCCGACATCTAGTCCCATTATGAGTACAAATGCACCAGGAAAATTTTCAGGATGCCGCATCACCTTTCATGATGTCTGCCGCAGTAGCAGACAAAGAGTCAGGTAAAAAAACATGTAGACCATGGAAACATCAGACATCATCATTAGACATCAGCCTACACTCCATAAACTTATAAAGCTATTCAAGCCTACTGTAAGAATAACAGGAACCGTTGAATTGGGTCAAAGTTGCCTATTTTAGTAGCTAATGAACTCAAAAACTTTTGGAAAAATATGAAAAATACATTGTGGTCTATTGGGACCATGACACTAGTGTTTCAACAAAAAAAAAGTCATATGAATCGAGACACAAATTGTCCCATAGGCCAATGAGATCCATGAAACCGAGATTATTTTTATGGTCTTGTATGCCAGTGATCTCTTACTGGAATATGAAAACTGATATGTACAATACAATATTCTGTAATTTCTAAGAAAAATGTTTTTCAACATATATTACATATTCTTGAAATATACACTGAATATGTAGTTTTTTATAATATACAGTGTGACCAATTTAAAATGGAACAACCCTGGTGAACAAATATATTTCTCAACATATTGAAATGCGTTTGTTATTAAGAAAAATTGTGTGGAACTAAAATTTGAAAAATATGTCATTTAATAATACCACTAATTCAACTTCAGAACGTTCATCAAAATTATAACTACTCCTCTGGATTGAGTAGGTTTTGGTTCATCACTGTCCACAATTTCATTGAAATCTGTTATAAGTAAAGATATATTGAACGGATTTTTTTTTATCTTTCTTTACATATAACTCTTCTAATGATGAGAATATTTCAATGAAATTCTGATTGGTGAATCTGCTGAATCCAGTAGAGATGTTGATGAAAATTCCAAAATTTAATTGGTAAAATAGTTGGCTGGCATATTTTTCAAATTTTATCCCTTATAACTTTTTCAATGACGAACAAATTTTGATGTAATATTATCAATAACCATTTCAAAACTACGTAAACGCAGACTGTGGCCGATTTTTTTTCAAAAAAAACGGTGCATTTTAAATGAAAAAATAATGAAAAATTACCCTGAAAATGGAAACTTATTCATGAAATTTCGGTTGAGAAATATGTTTCATCAGGATGTTCCCATAAATGGGTCCCACTATACAAAATGAAAAAGTTGAAAATTCAAAAAAATATTTAATCTCCAATAAGTACTATTGTGATTTTATTATCTTACAGGAGGCAATCAAATCTAAACACTCCTTGGACAGCTCCCAACTTAGGATATATCTCCACTACCATCCATCTTTTTACCACTTGCACATCCATTTTTGTTACCTGCGACACGAGGCCCCTGGATTACTAGCTGAAAGGGCGCATATGCTTTCAACTGTCATTAATAACATCGAACTGCTTCCAGACTACTACCAAAAAGCAACAATCCCTTTCGTCGTTAGAGAAAACGATAAATTGTTCAAGAAGTTGTTGGCAGAAGGTGTTTTGAAAGAGTGTTAAAATGTCTTCTGCAAGTGGAATCTTTCAAACCATCATATTAGAATTAAGGCCACGTCTTCAGAGTGTCAATGCATTTGTTTCCTTGTCTAAGGAACCTGAATCTGTTGAGGTTGTTCTCGGAAAGGAATCCATCAGGGTGATCACGGACAAAGGTCTGGATGAGATCCCTTGTGGAGACATCAATGCTGTCCAATGCAGCCTGTCGGGTATGAAAATTTGTGATAAGTTTTTGACATTCCGATTTGCCACAAATAATCCTCTAGAAATTGGGGGATTCAAAACTGAGCTATTGCAAAATACGGTAGCCAGCATAGAGTCTCTGAGCAACAAACCCCTGCTTTCCAATAACACAGCGTACACAATCCAGTGCCTCAACTGCGGAAAGAGTTTGACAGACTCTGTTAAGTTTGACCGTGTTTTACCGCTACCTTCTGAGAATTCTGACGCCAGTGATTGGTTTTGTCACGGCCATGGCAATCAGATGAATGGGTTCAGCTTGAACCCAAAGAAAACTGATTGTTTCTACTCCCAGTGCTTTGTGCATATCCATTCGGAAAGTGTGGCGAACGTCAAATGTTCAGGGAAGCTTGCCGTGTGCAGGTTTTGTTTGCAATGGTTGGGAATCCAACAGAATCCCACCACCATCAGACTGTGGTTCAATACGGTAAAATTTGTTGGTAGCAACAGTTGCGTTTCTACATCAAGCCTTCAGGATGCTTTCAAAACTATCAGAAACTCATTCAAGTACTCAGTCCACAGCACTGTTCGTGTGATATTAACCTGCCAGACTTCCTCTTCTCAAGTAGATGCTGTTTTGATATGGATTCTCGAGAAGAACCTTCAGATTTTGTTCAATGGTTCCGGTTCAGTGAAAAAGCATGAGGTCGCTAAGGTTTTATTTAAATTAGCCGGAAGTGACGAGCCAACTCTCAAGATGTGGCAGGACGATGCTATGGTTAGTTCATTCAGCGTGTCGAAAATCATGATGGTGGATCTGCTGAAGCACTTGCATAAGTTCAATAAGATGTTTCCATCTGAGTATTCCAAGTCGAACGAGTTCAAGATATCGTATCTGCTACTTTATGACTGACACTAAATAAATAAGTTTTTCTTATATTATGTTGTTTTATTTGTGTTATTCACAGGGTTTTTTAGAAATCATATTTGACAATCATTTCATTCATCACTATTATTTAATAAGCATATTGATAATGTTGTAACCTTCTCCTGACGTATGCTTTCATAAGATCAAAGTTAGAATACGCCTCAGTTGTGTGGAGCTCCTTTTATCAATGTCATATAGATGGAATAGTAGCAATTCAACGACGATTTTAAAAGCTGCTAGACCTAAAGACTGATGGCATTTATCTACCAATAGGTAGATAAATGCCATCTACCAATAGGCTGAATTACTACAAAAGCATAACTTTTTCAGTATCGAAAAAATACATGAGTATTATGGAATTAATTGTTGCTCTGAACAACTCAAAGGACTTTTATTTAAAATGTTATTTTTTTTGAATAATCAATTTAAACAACCTGACTTTTTCTTATGACAGCCTTATATGGTATCTTGTTTTTTATAATAAAAATATATTGACAGGTATAGGAACATATATACAGAAGCCATACTGGTCACCACAGTACTTCCCTCCAATGAAGATGGTCATGAACTTTTTTTGGTGCTTCTCTGTATCCTTTGTGTTTCACATGTTCTTTCTCCAGTAACCTCTCTCTCGTATTATTCAACAAAAGCTGGTTTCAAACAGTTAATACTAATATTTTTGTGTTTTCCACTAACTAATAGAGCAAAATATTGTTTGTTTCTGTAAATCACCCTGAATAGTCCATTATAAGTTGTTTGAAGGTTTTTTTAACAGTGTCAACTCTAATGAACACATGGGAGCAAGTTGATAACTCGTTTTGCATGAATAGTTTTTGTTTATCGTAATAAGTTCCAGGCGTTGCTCGCATTTTGGTCATGTTTTTTGTAAGATTGTGATGAAACTATTGATAAGTAGGGGAAGGAACAGTCCTTTCTTTTATAAGTTCTCCACGAATCCTGAGGGTTAGGTTAGGTCCAAAGTGAGTGGGTATATTCGACCCTCCACCGCAACTTGCACACACATATTCACACTCGGCCAAATGAACCCAGCTTCTTAACGAAGCCGATTAGTTTGTATGGTGACTTGTCTTTCAAGTCAGATGGTAAGAGTACGGCTCTGCCGAACTCTAAAAACCTGATTCGGTCCCCAGCGGGGCAGGCACAAAGTATATGCTCTGTTAATAAGGTAGTCGGATAGTCAAGTTGCAAGATTCCTACCTTAATACCCACGACAACCTTCCCTTATGAGGGTTTGTGCACGTCAGCTACACCTGGCGATGCCTTAGATTCAGGTTCCGAAGAGACAGCTGATAGGCTCAGTGTCATTCGTCCTCTCAGCACGGATAAATACATCGTAGGATTAAGCCATTGTTGGGATGCCATTCAGTTAGGAAATAAAAGAAACACAAGTGATTCTATCATTTCCGTATCCAGCGAGGCTACGTGGAAGCAGGCATCCGATGGCCGCTTTACTGAACCCCCACATACCAAGCCAATGCACTCGCCCAAGGGTTGTTCTATACACTAATTCAGCACTGGAACACTGCAATTGTTCCTTTACTGAAACCCTGATTCCCAGTAAAATGGTAGAAAGAAGATCCGTCCACTTTTCTGATTCATGGCACTTCAGTGCTGCCTTCATTGGTCCATAAAATCTCTCAATCATTCTATTAGCCGATGGATGGTAAGCTGTCCTTCTTATATGCTGCATACCCAGCAATTTTGAGAACTCTTTGAAAAGTGAAGATTCAAATTGTCTACCCTTGTCTGTAGTTATTCTTAACGGAACTCCAAATTGAGAAATCCATCCTTCATAAAATTTCTTGGCCACCGTTTCTGCAGTTATATTGGTTGTAGGAAAAGCTTCAGGCCATCTTGAATATCTGTCTATCCATTCGATGGAGGAAGTGGTCCAACCAAGTCGATATTAACATGCTCAAAATGACTTTAGGTACCTCATAAATACCTACTGGACTTACCACATATTTAATAACTGGATTTTTGGCGTTGAATACAGCACTGACTCCATTTTTTAATTTCTTTCTTCATATTCGACCAAACATATCTCTTGTTTATCAATTCAGTGGTAGATAGCTCTTATTCCGGGACGAAGCAAATTAAATATCAAAATTTAATATTTTCATCTCCCAGAAAAAATAATTCGTTTTGTTGCTGGTGTATCGAGCATGACCAATTGTAAGAATTATCTGAGAGAATTTGAAATCTTCACTCTACCATGTCCGTTTATTTTTTAAGTCTGTATATTTGTATACTGCAATTCAAAACTAATGCTCGAAGTGCATTCAGTCACTAAAAAACAACATACTGATCTACATATACCTTTAAAAAATTCTTTTACGATTCTCCATCTATAATTAGCCGATGGATTTTGAATAAATTACCATTGACTATGAAATCTATTCCTGAACTGATATTATTCAAATCAACATTGAAAGAATTTTTATTAAATCAAGTTTTTTATTTTATAGATGAAATTTTTTACACGTATATGTATGTTCCTCTTTTATGATATGAATGTAGACTTAAATTTGGGCTAGGTATTATTTTTACTTCTAGGACATCAACTAAACCTTTACAAATTAAGTACCAGACGATGGATCCCATGGATGACGTCTTCGTAAGGGAAGATGTCGTCGACCTTACTCAGGCTTGTCCTTCAAGCACAGTTAAGTCCAGCAACGTATTTGTGGTGAATCGTTGTGTTTGGGCTTAAGTTTCCAATCCAAAGAAATGTCAAAGTTATATTCGAATTTCATTAAGTAAACCTCACGATTTGATCTCCACAAACTTTATTTGAAAAATATATCACATGTTTCGCTAACACAGTAGTTTCTTCAACAGCTTCAATCACTGTTGAAGAAGCTACTGTGTTAGCGAAACGTGTCGTGATATATTTTTCAAATAAAGTTTGGGAGGAGATCAAATCGTGAGGTGTAGTTTATGAAATTACTATGGATCTTCATTAAGTAACGACCGAATCAATCAGAATGTTACATATTAACTTTCACAAGAAAATTCAATTCGTTGATATTTGACTATAAAATAGCACCAACTTCACTAAGTAAATGCCAAAACATTAAAAGATCTCGGAGTAACATTTGGTCAGAAACTTGTATTCGCTGATTATGTGGGTCAAACTATATGGTCTGCTATCAGAATGCTTGGTTTCATAAGGAGAAATAGTAAGGATCTCAACAACATATATTATCTTATTGTATTCAACTACTACGCTGGAATGTAAATAGATCACTCTTATTAATGTACTACCATGCATACTTTCATTGTAACATTTCCTATGGAATTATAGCTTGGGGAGCATTTAGTGATTGTTCCAGAATACTCAAAATTCGTAAAAGGTATATAGCAGGAGTTGATAGAAAGACAAGTTGCAAACTCGTCTTCCAAAATCTCAGAATATTGACTGTTACAAGTATATACATTTACGAGATATTAAAATATGTAAAATCGCACACAACCAGTTTTCCTACTCTTAATGGTAATAAGAATTATAATACTAGAAATTCCCTACAGTTGGAAGTGCCAACACACAGATTAGTTGTATCTGAATCATGTCCCAGGCTTATGGCCATTACATTGTACAATAAACTTCCAAGTACAAAAAAAAACAGTTATAACAATCAAATCAGAGCTGCTCCTGGATAAATCCATTATTCTCTCAAAGAATATATGGATGATAACTTATGACCCTGTATATGTGTAACATTTTAGGAAGATTTTATTAACGATGCTGTTACATAACAGATTATTTTTGGTTTTGGGTATTATATAGTATGTACATGTCTAACATTTTATTTTAGGTTTTGACTATTATATTATATTATCTATGTAATTTTTTTTTCATCATTATGAACTTTATTACAATTGTATATTACAAATATTTCCTAATAAATTATAAACATTTAACTAGATAATACATAACATTAAAAATGAACAGTTCAAAAATAACTTTACAAAACGCTCAAAGGTGCGAACTCGTTTCCTCCTTTTCATAAAAGAGGATGTATGCATCTCCACTCACAAGCGATTTTCGTGAAATTGGTGACACTTGTGAATCATTATATTCGTGCCACGTGCCATTAAAAGGATGTTTGCAGAATGCTGTATAATGTCCGCTGTAGGTAGACCCACTGTGATTCGACAGTGCATATAGATTATAGCGAGGAGTCACATTATCTGCTGCATAATTATTCATATCTAATCCATCTAGAGGAAATTCGATGTAAATTGTATATTGTGCCTCTAAGTGCAAGGAGTTTGTATTTTTAATTTTGTACTTGTACACGTTTTGACATACTCAATGTCATCTATAGATGATCCAACTGAATAAATATTATTGTTATTATTAAAGGTGCCTTTTATGGCATATGTCCACTCAAAATCAGAATATGGCATACTTCTGTGGTACCCTATATATGCGACTTAGATTTCACTGAAAAAATTAGGCAAAAATTCCTGAAAGGCATTCCTCATAGTCAATTACTCGGAGAATTGAAGTTCCTAAGTGCCAGACGAGTAGTCTGAACAGTTGACATTTTATATAATAGATAGATATGTTTATTCATCACTGAAGTTTTACAAGATACAGCATATAAACTTGTCTCCCTAAAACTTATCGGACTAGTCAGACATACAACAAATACAATTAGTATAAAAATAAAAGCATAAGCTACCCTATACCAATTTATATATACTATGAACAGAATGCTAAGAACTCGTCCATTGAATAAAAGGCATTTGAACATAAAAGATCAAACAATTTTGATTTAAATAATTTAAAGCTCTCAATTTCACCCATTAGTGTGACTGTGTGATTATAGCAAATAATTCCCTGATACATATATGACTTCTGTCCCAGTGATAAGCGAGAAAATGGCAAACGTATACAATTAGCGTTGCGTGTACTATAATTGCATGAAGAGTTAGAATTCTCAAACGAACAAAGATTTCTCTACAGCTCTCTCGAGGGTTGGCTCTCACCATACATCTTAATATTCTTTTCTGTATTATAAACACCTTTTGAATATGAGCAGAATTGCATCAAACAATAAGACCATAACTCAGTGTGGACTGAACAAGACCATAATAAGCTAGCTTAAGAGTTTCCAGAGATACTGTTCCTTGTAGTTGTCGAATAACAAAGCAAACACTGCTTAGTTTGGATACAATATGATCTGTATGAACATTCCATGTGAGCTTCTGATCTAGGTAAACTCCAAGGAATTTACAATATTTTACTTACTCTATGGACCTATGATCCATTCTTATTAATGGACTATGGTCAAGACTGATATTTTGTTGTTGAAATACCATAAAACAAGTTTTATTGATGTTGACTGATAATCCATTATTCTCGCACCATTGTTGAAATTCGCGTGCACATGTATTGCTAGTTGTAACAGTGCCTGCTAGAGATTTTTCAGCCACCAGCTGGTTTGTATCATCTGCATAGATAATCATTTTGTTATGAGATGTACATGAATATATAATATCATTAATGAAAGCAATAAATAGTGAAGGACCTAAAATAGAGCCTTGTGGTACACCAGTTGTTACTTTTAATCGGTTAGATTTCACTTTGTCTACAACCACTATCTGTGACCCATCCTTTAAATAGGATTATATCCAAGTGTTGGCCACTCCTCGAATACCTATCCTATAAAGTTTCTCTATTAATAATCTGTGATCTATAGTATCAAAAGCTCTACTAATGTCGTAATAAACGGCTATTGGATTTTGTTTTTCATTCAAGCAGTAATAAATATGGTTACATAATTCTTTTATAGCAGTTTCTGTAGATTTTTTATACCTGAAGCCATGCTGACAATTTAGAATAAGATTACTTTGTTCTATAAAATTGCTTAACCGTGTATTGTAACTGCTTTCGAGGACTTTCGCGAATTGAGATTGTATACACACGTTTCTATAACTTCCGACGTCATTTCTAGATCCCTTACCCTTAAATATTGGCACAGACTTTGAGGTTTTGAGAACTTCTGGATATTTTCCTTTTTCATAGGATTTATTAATTATGAAAGATAGTGCATTACATATTATATCACTGACAAATTTAAGAGTAACCCCAGAAATATCATCAATTCCTGCAGAAGGTTTCTTAGTTGTTTTTTTTATAATGTATTCGATTTCAGGTGGACTTGTCGGATACAGAAACATTGTGTTATAAGAAAAGGGGGAGAATGTATGGTTGTTCAGATCTGGTTTTGTATTTACCACATTCATGAAAAACTCATTGAAGTAATTACCTATTTTGAATTTATCATTTTCAAGTTTATCTTCTATATTTATTTGCAATGGTGTAACAGATATTGTGTTGTCTTTTGCTTCATTAATTATTTGCCAGCTTTCTTTAGATATATTACGGGTTTCAACAAGTCTTGCATCATTATATTCCAATTTAGCTTTCCGTACCTTATGTCTATAAATAACTTTTAAATTTCTGTACCGTTCTTGAATAACATCAATATTAGTAATTTTTACAAGTTTAGCCATTTCACATAAAGTTTGATGGAGCTTTTTTATTTCTGAAGTAAACCAAGGCTTCTTACGGTTTTTAAGGAATTTACGTTTTAGAGGAAAAGCCATTTGGAAATTATATTCGTAAGTGGCATAGAAGCTATTGAACGCTTCATCAACCGTAGAGTTATAAGTATCGTACCACTCTTCTGACAATAACAGGTGCTAATATGTTATCATATTAGCACCTGAGTAATCACGTGAGAATATTGTTTTTTTATATTCTCCTTATTCACTGGTATTGAGAATGTACATGTTTGAAATGTGTGATCTGACAAATGTGTGTCTATAATATCGACTGAATCTCTTATAAAAAGTCCCTTTATATGTTCCTTATCATAACACTAGATACTGTTCTACTTAGATTTTGTCATTTGCTGTGATAACAATTATTCATCTATGATATTCGTTGATGCATTATATTTAACGTAATCATTGAATAGAACTGGCCGATACTTGATGAAAATCCATATTATCATTGTATGATTTTCAATATAAAAGGGTTTTACAAAAACCGGGACATGTGTTTCGCTATACAATAGCTTCCTCAAGCGTAAACAAGCTTGTGTCGCGGTTTTTGTAAAACCCTTCAATAGTGAAAATCATTCAATAAACTGTATTAATTAGTTTTAACGTAGTCCATTGATATACTTTTTTTCTTATAACTAACAATACTTTATAACTCAAAAAAAGTCGTATATTAAAAATGTTTTATTAACATCGATCATCTCCAAACGCCATTTTCCTAAAAATATAAAAATAACCATTAACTCTTCTTGCATGAAACACAAGAAAACCTTGCCATTTTTGACATCTCTAAAATCATAGTTTAATTCAACCCACAAACTCTAGGAAAGAATTAAAATGAACTTTCATAAATATTAGCACTTAGGATCTGCAGTTTTTCATTCAGCGCTAACTGCTGAACAAAATGCTGAGGTAGTGATTGTTTCGACAGTAACCCATTTATAATTGGTATGAGTTTCGCAATGGGTTTTTTTATTTCGAATGGATTTCGAAAACAATCTTCTTGACCATTTGATGCAGTTGGCAAATCATTTTGATTGTAAAATTCTGCTATTTGATCTCCCATTGAAACAAAACCTCTGTTTATGCAATGAGTTGCGATAGATTTAATTTCATCACTGTCTAGGAAATCTTCAGTGTCACGAATCTGAAATATTAATGAAAGAAAATTTGGAGGAAATTAAGAATAAAAAAATTTGCTAACCATATTACAATACACATCGGCGGGGTCAGAAATGGAATTTCGTAAGATGTAACTTGCAAAACATTCCACAGGACTATTTTTGTGTGTCGCTAAATTTGTCTGCACTGTCCAAAATATGGCTTCAATGTCACTTAGTTTCAATTGTTTGGAGAGTTCTAAATCCTCAACACACTTTTTAACCTGAAAATTACTATAAGTTTATGAGATACAAAAACATTTTGATCGCTGACACATTGTCACAAAAACTTTATCAATGATCAACCTACGAGGTGTGTCCAAAAAGTATCCGACCTGCTTTTATATCTCCGCATTGGTGCTGGTCGTGGCATCTTTCGAAGTAGTCCCTATTTGATTGAACCATATGCTCCCAGCGAACCTTGCACATCTTGAAGCAGTCGTTGAACGCGGATTTGGAATGACACTCAACTCAAGCTGAATCGTCTTCATGTCGTTGATCGGCTTTCCTTTGAGCGACATTTTTAATTTCAATAACATCCAAAATTCGCAGGGAGCCATGTCGAGACTGTACGGTGGCTGGCGAAACTGTATAATTCTGTATTTTACCAAAAATTGCTGCACGAGGTTTGATTAATTCGTTAGCGCCTTAACGCCGCCGTTTTTTTTTCTCACGCAACTTTTTCAGAACTTCAATATAATATTCTCTGTTGATCATCTGACCTCTTCAAATTCATAGTGTACAACACCCTCACAATAGAAGAAAATAATCAGCTTGTCATGGCTCCGACTTTGACGTGCTTTTTTCTACCGTGGTTCGTCTTAACGCTTCATTGTAAATATCGTTGTTTATTTTCAGAAATAAACACCAGAAATAACCTTCTCAAAGACATTTTCATCGTCACTGACCATTTCCAAGTTGTTCTGAACGATTTCAGACCGACGGTCGTGAGCAATTTCGGAATGAATTTCGCACACACGTGAGTCATTCCCAAAATCTTCCAAGATTATTTGCTGTTCCGATGTTATTGTCAACGAAGATCGACCAGAACGGAGTTTACAGTGGAGCTATTTTTAAACCACTGTACCATTTATTTATCTGTTTTGTGTCCATTCTTTCATTCCCAAAGGCCTTCTGTATCATTTCAATTGTTTCCGTAAAATTCTTGCCGAGATTGAAGCAAAACTTGATGCAAATTCGTTGATCTGTTCTTTCTGTCATTCTCAACAGTCGAAAAGTGCGACGAACAGAACTAACACGTTGGATATAAAGACACGCTGCGCAGGTCGGATAATTTTCGGACACACCTCGACACATGTTTCAGCAACCAAGTTGCGTCTTCAGAAGAAACACACTAGTTCCCAACTCTAAAACTGATCTCACATGCTTTCGAAAATCTCCAAAAATCTAATATCATTTACGGACCTCAACAATTTCAGGCAGTTTTTATTCATTCTATGGCCGTTCTCCATGATGTTTTGAGCGATACTGGGTTTTTCTGTTCTCCAAAATCGGATATGTGATTATTCTTTTTTTAAACGAGTTTCAATAGCACATTTAGTCTGATCGACGTATTTTTTGTCATAGCAAATATATCCCCGACTTCATTTTCCAACATCTTGTCTTTAGAGTTACCTAACATTTGTTGAAGCAAGCAAGAAGTTTTCAAGGTTAGTTTGAAGGTGATTGACAATGTTTTGTGATGAATTTCACTAGTTCGGACTTCCATTGTCTACTATATAAAATGATTTGAAATCCCTGAAACAAGTAAAAAAGAATAATTAAAAAGAATAGTTGAAAATAACAATTATATTAAGCAACAATAAACCTGAAATGAAATGATAGTGAAATAACCATTTTTAATTATTCTTTTTTACTTGTTTCAGGGATTTCAAATCATTTTATATAGTAGACAATGGAAGTCCGAACTAGTGAAATTTTTCAAGGTTACTTTTACGTTTAACTTTTTGAAAATTTGATGTCGTTCGTAGGGGTGCGACAGCTGGTTAACGGAAAAACGGATTTCAAACAGAATTCGTTAGTGTATCTTGATTCATACGAAATGACAACGAACTTTGAAATGATGTCTTTTCGCAAAGTTGAAGTTCTACGAAGATTCTTTCTAAATTTAAGTTCCCTAATTAACTCATCTACTGTATTTGAAGGACACCAATTGCATTCAGCTATGTTCCTATGGATAAGAAAGTTTAATCTTGCCAATGATGTGAGCTATCAGGACTATATATAAAAGTACTGGTATTCTTCCTACAGACATCAAATTCTAGACCTTGGTTACTTTTAATCACTAATACATCATCCAAGAATGGTAACTCTTCATTTCTTTAATTCCATATGTATATGTTTTCAAGAGTTGAAACAAAGTCCTCCAACTTATAGTCTATTTCAAAAGAGTGTAGAGTAATAAATCATGAAGTGTCATAAAATTTGCCTGAATTTCGTTGTCGTCCATGGGCGTAGGCAAATCTTAGGATTATTAAACTTAATAATTAAAGTAAATTAAAAATTACAGACATAGATAATAATAAAAGGCCATTTTTGGGAAGTAATTTGGTCTAAAACTAAGTACCTACATGTATTTAGGTAAGTAAAATTTCTTAAAAAAAGATTAAGATTAATTTTAGTGGTTCTTGTAAACTTATTTAATATGCAATTTGGGTTCATATACTTGAGCATGATTTCTCAAAAAAGGGTTAACACTTAGTTCCGAGGTGCCATGTCATTATAATAATCCCTTTTTGACCCTGCCCACCAATCATGCAATACCTATTAAAC